GTGGTTTCTCCTCATTCTTCTGTGAATATGGCTGTCCATTGCGTGTCAAATTTTCCTCCAATTGAAATGCCGAAGTCTCAGGTATGTTGGTAGGAGTGGATTTCTTGTTGAGCATTACTCCTCTTCGAGTTTCTTTGCGGCGAACTTCTGAGAAAGCCTTATGGATTGAAGGCATGAGACTTCTTCCAATAATTCTGCCCCTAACCTCATCAAACTCCTCATTAAGTCCAACAAGAAATTTAAAAATTCTATTTGCATCAACAATGGTCTTATATCTACTAGCATCATCAGGACACTTCCACTCTTGATCATTGAACAGGTCAAGGTCTTGCCATATTCTCTTTAAAGAATTAAAGTATTTTGTGACAGAGTCATTACTTTGACAAATATCACCAAGTTTCAGGGAAAGTTCATAAACCTGAGATTGGTTACCTATATCTGAATACATTTGGGCCACATTCTCTCAGAGTTCTTTGGCAGTAGAGTAACACATGTAGTTTGCGCCTATCTCTTCTTCCGTAGAGTTTATCAACCATGTCATTATCATGGAATTTTCTGCATCCCAGGTTGCGTAGGATGGATCTGTAGCGGTTGCTTACGGACTTCTCCTGTTAGGTAGCCTATCTTCCCTCTTCCTCTAATATACATCCTCACCAATTGTGACCAGTGTAGATAATTATCACCATTGAGAAAGATTGTGGTGATCTGGGCTGGATGATTTTCGGTGGTAGTTCTTGAAGAAGTTCTAGAAGAGGGTGGTGCGGAAGCAGATGACAGGGTAAAATGCTGGGTAGAAGTAGCTAGGGCTGTAAACGAGCCGAGCTTGAGCGAGCTCCGGCTTGGCTCCTGGTCGGCTCGGCTTGGCTCGTGTTCGGCTCGTTCGAAATTGCTCGTGTTCGAAATCTGCTCGGGAACAGTGTGTTCGTGTTCGACTCGATTTAAATATTCGTGTTCGTGTTCGGCTCGCGTTCGACTCGAAATTGGTTTGTTAAACTAAAATTGAGAAAAATAGATGTAAAGTGTGAGATTCAAACCTGGATCAAATATATACAAAAGAAGACACTAACTACATTGCCACATGAGATGTTATGATTTAAACTTAGACATAAATATATATAATATATTGTTATGCAAATAATATATGTGATATATTGTTATATAAAAAGTTATATATTTGTTTTTTGAGCCATTTCGAGCCGAACACGAGCGAACAAACTGTTGTTCGTGTTTGGCTCGTTTACATTTCGAGCTTAAAAATTTGTTCGTGTTCGACTCGTTAGGCTTAACGAAAGAGCCGAACACGAGCTGCTTAATGAGTCGAACACGAGTTGTTCACGAACAACGAGAAATTGACAGCCCTAGAAGTAGCGGAATCATTTGTATTTTTAGACATGATAAAAATTGTGTGGTTTTGCAAGTGGCGGAACAGTGGAGAGGTAATTCGCGAGTCGCGAGCCAAGCAGATTAGAGCAGCAGCGGCGAAACAAAAGGCGTCGTTTGCGATCCTGATTCTTATTTCCGTGAGCAGCGTCGCTCGCACTTCCTCGCCTTCTTCGGCGTCGCCCGCGCTTCCTCGCCTTTTTCGGTTCGAAGAAGGAAAGCGCCTGCTTCCGACATCGAGAGACAATCTTCTTCACGCGAAAGGCAGGATTCTCCAGAATTTTTTTTTCTCCCGTTCTGATACCATAAAAAAACAGAAAGTGAAGAGAAAATTCGTTTCTTCTTTTTGATTCAATTCAAATTGCCTTTACTTATAGGAGTCTCTCCTCCTTAGATAAGGAAACTAACTAAATAAGTTTAGATAATTTCCTATTACATTGCAAGACTAATTAAGCAAGATTTGGTACAGATATCGTAGATTTGGTACAGATATCACATGATATAAATAAGGAAGGAAAATAATATCTATATAAGAGGAAAGAAAATAAATTGTAATTTGAATTAAATCTTTCAACATAACCCAACTTAATTTTTAGTATGATCCTATTTTATAAATTTGCTCACTTTGGCATAGATGTTAATTTGACATGATATTTTTTTAATTTTCAGGTGTTTATTGATATCACATTAGATGTTTAATTGTATTTTTTAATTGTTTGAGTAGAAGAAAGTATAATCCATCTAATTCGATTGCCTACAATAAGTAAGTTGGTGCACATTCTTTTTAATACATCTTTTCATGCACAGTAAGGTGACATTTATGCAAAAATTGAAGTTTAGGTGCTAGATATGTAAATAGATAGAAGTTGGATGGTATGTGTAAATTTTCCTTTTACTGATTTTCACTTTCAAATTTTCTTTGCTACAGCTCGAGCTTAAACTAGGGTTTGGTGGCACATCCTATAAAGATTTCATACAGAACATGCATCTACCTTTGCAGCTAAGGTTTTTAATAAGATTAATTATAATTTTAATGTTTTTCAGTAAGCTTGAAAATCCTGGATTCACTCTCTTTATATTTCAGTCAGGTGGATCCTATTATAGCTTCTTTTTCAGGAGGAGCAGTGGGTGTAATATCAGCACTAATGCTTATTGAAGCAAATAATGTTGAGCAGCAACAGAAGAAGAGATGCAATTACTGCCAAGGAACTGGTATGTATTAGATATTTCCTACTTTGGCCATTTTAGGTCGGCGCGTTGGAGAACTAAACCGATTCAGGGTATAATCTCCAATCCAGATTTTCATAGGAAGATTTACGAACATACCACACAATTCCTACATAATTACATATCTAACACCTAAATTTCAATATTTACCTTTCAGCCACCTTAACTATGTATCTATGTATAATAATATAAATATTATTTATTGAATCCTTTTAGAACTTAGGGGCCTGTATTGTTTGTGAGTAAACACAACTCGGTAAAGACCTTATTTTTGGAAGGAGGGTAGAAAAAAGGAATGCATGTGATTGATGGTTGAAAGAGTGCCTCCGATTTTGATTGTTGAGCTTGAAGCTCCGGTAAGCCAGAACAAATAGCTTGGAGGAGGTTTCTTGGATTACAATGTTTCTAGAGAGAGGGAGAGAGAGAGAGAGAGAGAGAGAGAGAGAGAGAGAGAGAGAGAGAGCGTATTTCAAAAAGATTTATGTTTTTTTTAGGCCCGAGAGTCCCCTTCTTACTCACTTAACTTTCTTTTATACATAAAGGAGAATAAAATAAAAAAAAAATATTTCACACAGTACTACGCCAATCCGTAGTGTCTTGGTGAAATGACCGTCACATAGATATCATGCTGCATTTTTAAAGCATGATGGATTTGCGTCCTTGTAAATAATGATGACCATCTCTGATAGCTGTCCCTCCATAGATGGGCTAGATCGTTCCTGTGGGAGAGGTCAATCTAGTTGTTTCGACAGGTGAGCTTTGTTCAACCATTTCTGTAGGTGGGTTCAATTCAGGGGAGCTTAGGTCAACCTAAACATCGTTTCTTTACATTTATAACACCCAAATCTTTTATATCATACATATCACATAAAAAATAACACTATTTTAACTTCAAAAAAAAAAAAAATGAAATACACTTTTTCATGGATAGCTAAGGTCCCATTTATGTCAATATTAAAGTTAGGTGTTAGATATGTAATTTCATAAGAATTGTGTGGCATGTATGTAAATCTTCCAAAAAAATATTTATATTCTTTATTTTTTTTTCTTTTTGTTTAGTCTGAAGATTTGCTTGCTACATGTTGAAAAGTATCACTGATGTTATATTTTGTATATTTTTGATACAGGATATTTGGCCTGTGCCAGATGTTCTGCCAGTGGTATTTGTGTAAACACTGAATCTGCTTTAGTTGCTGGCATTCGTGATGATCCTTTTCAAACTCCTACAACTCGAAGATGCCCTAATTGCTATGGGGCTGGTAAGGTATGTTAGGCGAGACAAATATAATGATGGATTCTTTTCTGAAAGTTCAAAATTTTCGCTATTTTGACAACACATTTTAGTGGTAAAGTCGCTGTATTAATCATTGAATCTTGTCCTGTATTGTTTTAGAGGGCTTTCCTTGTAGCAATAATTGTCTATTGCGATGTAGAAGTTCAAATTTTCAAAGAGCAAGGTCTCTATGCCATGCAAGCGCCAATAGTAGAATCAAAACTTAAAGAGGGGGTGGCAAAATAAAAAAAAATTAAGGAGTGACAAATATTTAAATTTTAAAATTTCACCTCCTTTCGAAAAGCTATTATAAATATTATTATTAAAATTAAATATACTTAAATCAAAATTATTATTCAATATTTAAGTTTAAGAGATAATTTTCATTTCATTATATGATATTAAAGAGTTTAGTAAAAAAAATAGGGGTGGATGAGATGGCGATCCCTGAACCACTCTTCGGTTCCAACACTGAATGTAGAATAATGGATGCGTACATCAGTTTCTCCCTATTGATGTGGATCCTCACTTAAATTTGTAGGTTTGACAACTTAACGGATTAATTTTATTGATATGAAAAAGGGTATAAATACATATTATATGAATTCTAAAATAGGAAAGATATAACATTCATTTATCCAAGATTACAATTAATCAATTCCTAATAACTACCCGGAGATAAAATGAAAGACATAAAATAGAAAATAATCAGAAATGAAACAAATAACTTCTAACATAAAATAGGAAATAAATCAATACTAATAACTTCTAATACTCTTCCTTAAGTTGAAACATGGATGTTAATCATGCTCAATTTGAATTTAAAATCATCTAATAATGCGTGGGGAATATATTTTGTGAGGTAGAACTTGAAGTCTTCATTTCCAAGACATTTAGGGATACCTCTAGTTGACTGTGGCTACCTTTGACTGCATTTTCTGCATTTTCTGTAGGTAGGTGGAAGACTGCTACAAGTAATGCTGCAGGGATATTTGCAGGGAGTTGGACAACTTACATGAAAAGCTGCAAGAAAAAAAAATGGAAAAAGCTCAACAATAATAAAAATGGAAAGCTTCGGTGGTAGGCATGTTGTAGGAAAAAGACGCGTTGGAGGGTTTGCTGAAGGGAAAAAGCTTTAGACGAGGGTCTGTTACAGGAAAAAGCTTTAGAGGAGGGTCTGATGTAGGAAAAAACTCCAGAAGAGGGTTAGTTGCAGATTGAGAGGAGGGTCTACTACAGAAAAAAGTTCCGGAGGAGGGACTACTTCACGAAAAAGCTACGGAGGAGGGTCTATTGCAAGAAAAAGCTCCGGAGGCAAGAAAAGGCTTTGAAGGAAGTGTTGTGCAGGAAAAAAAGCTCTGGAGGAGGGATGAATGAATAAGGTTCCCAATAACCCCAACCGCTTCATAATGAAGGACAACATTATGAGAATGAAGCATAAGAATAAGTTTTGGAAGAGCATTGCATTCGACTATTTGGTTATTGTTTTCATCATTTTTGAGAGCTAATGTTCGCAGGGCTCCGATAGCTACTCTCTGCACCTTTGGATCTTCTGATTCTAGTAGTTCAACTAAAGGTGAAATGCCACCTTTAATTCTAACGAAGGTTTTAATGGTGCTATTTTCATGAGCAAGATTTGTGATAACATCAACAGCCCTCCTTATAAGGCTACTAACAACCTGTATATGTGTTGTGGTATATATATAATTGAAAACGATCGACGACGAAGCGAATAAAATAGCACGAGAAAATTCACACCAAAAGAACACACAGATTTACGTGGTTCGGCAAATTACCTACATCCACGGAGTTGCAGAGGATTTTACTAATTGAGGAGATGTCCACCGCCTGATCACGTCGACAGTTACAAGGAAGAAATTTCTTATTTCCTCTCTCTATATTTGAGAGTCACAATAGAAGAGAAGTGCAAAGAAAGGAAACACCGCAAGCAACAATTTCTTCCAACTATATTCACCTCAAACAAAAAACTTCTTCTTTCCCTTTTGTAAGCCTCAAGAAGAAGAAGAATCAAAGGAGAAATCTCCTTTCTGTCTCTGTTTCACGAATTAAGGAACCGAAACCTTCTTCAGCGGATTTCGCAAATCTAGAGAGACGGGGGAGAGTCACAGCATCGCGAGTGAGAAGCCTTTTTAATCGTGAACAGGAAGCTTCGGAACAAAGGAGGTGACGTTTCGCGAAATGGAGGCGAGAACGGTTCGCGTGCGAGGGAGCGTGAGGAGTCGCGACGATTCGCGAAATGTGGAGGCGGGAGCGGGAGATCGCGATTCGCGATCGCCGGGGTGGAAGAGGAGGTCGTACCGGGTTCCACTTCTAACATATCTCCCACTTGGAGACCTGCCCCCGGACTCCACCACCTCCTTGAACTAAATCTCCACTGGCGGCGTAGCCATTTTCTTCAAACAAGAATCCTCCACCTCTGCAACTCAAAAGCCCATGTCTTCAAGCTAGAAGACCAACTGAAGCTGCGCACAACTTCAGTTTCTCAATTGTAACACCCTTTGTCAACATATCAGCAGGGTTCTGACTTCCACAAATTTTCTCAGCATCAACTGTCCATCATCCAACAATGATCGTATGAAATGATACCTGATCTGAATGTGCTTTGTCCTGGACTGAAATGCTGGATTCCTGGCAAGGAATATAGCGCTCTGACTGTCAATGTAGAGAATGCCCATCTGATCCTTCTTGCCTAATTCTTTCAAGAAGCTCTGTAGCCATATCATCTCCTTTGCAGCCTCTAACACTGCTATGTACTCAGCTTCTGTGGTAGACAACGAAACTGTTTTATGCAGATTAGAGCCCCATGATACTGCAGTGTCATCAATAGTGTAAATATAGCTTGTAGTACTTCTTCTAGTATCAATGTCTCCAGCTAGATCAGCATCAACATAACCCCGTACCTTTGAACTCTTTCCTGAGAAACACAAGCAAGTTTCTGCAGAGCCTCTTAGGTACCTCAAGATCCACTTCACTGCTTCCCAATGTTTCTTTCCAGGATTACTCATGTGTATCTGCTAACGACTCCCACTGCATGTGCAATATCAGATCTGGTGCAAACCATAACATACATAAGTAAACCAATAGCTGAAGCATAAGGAACCTTACTCATGTAATCTCGTTCCTCCTCAGACTTGGGTGACTGATTCTTGCTGAGTTTCAAGTGACTTCCCAAGGGTGTGCCAACTGGTTTGGCTTTATCCATATAAAATCTGCTAAGTACCTTTTTTACATGCTCAGCCTGAGAGAGTCTCAACATGCCTCTGGCTCTATTTCTGACAATTCTCATACCAAGGATTTGCTTTGCAG